TTTAACCCAAATGTGGAACCTATGTGGGGGGGGAGCATTTTGAAGAATGAATTCATGAGAATGGTATATAAAAATCAACCAATTCTGAATAAAACGTTACTGCACTTTTACACCCGAGCAGTGGTTAAAAGAGCATGCAGGACTAAACGGCAGGCAGTTACTCATCAATTTTTGACAACTAAAAAGTTAAGTAGTACAAATAAGGTCCACTTTATATATTCGATTGCTACTTATAAAGCTTTATAAACCACCTTATTAACTACGGTTTCCTTCCTGGATTTAAGGTCATTGTTGCATTTCCCTTGCAAAAACAGACATTACCAGCAGCTCCTGACAAAGCACAGCTATCCTCATTGCCTCTTGATACATGCACCTCCACAAGGCAGAGGATCTGAAACTGATTTGTTATAGGAATTATATTCATACCTCTTGCTTTTACAATCACTTCTGTCACGATCACATGCATTTCATTTAAAAAAAACATTTATAAGTCATTGTAACTATTTAAGGTTAAAACCAAATAGCCAGAAGCATACAAAGAGTATGTTTTGAACAGAATATATTTAAGACTGAACTTCACAGTTCAGGAGGCACTTAGAGAACCTTAAAGTCCTGCATAGACTGTCATAGCCACAACAGGAGTTTTTTTATCAGAATCCCCAACTGCAGATACGCTAGTACAACATAATCTGTTAATAGGTCAAGATCTTAGCTTACATGGTTCACACGTCAAAGGTTACAGAGACCTTCAACAGACTTGCTTCAGTGAAAAAAATGAAACATTAAGAATACTGCAAAGTAGTCGCTACAGGAGAAAAGAGAGTGCTACAGCCAGTGTCTAAAGCTCACCTCCTCCTCCCTCCTCAAAACCTCAACTCGTAACACATACTTTACATACCTGCAAAAATAATTTTTGCTTTGTATTTTGGGATTCCTTTCACAGCGTATGCCCACTTCCGAGCCAATTTACAGGCAGTTTCTCCAGCTTCCACTCCTAAAACATAAAGCAATAATACCACTATCACACTTGTACATGAGACAGACCATCGATGCAGCACCAAATGTTACAAAACCGTTGAATCTCACAGACCATCGATGCAGCACCAAATGTTACAAAACCGTTGAATCTCACAGACAAGAAATAAAATGGAAATAATTTTTTTTTTACCTGTGTTCATTGGAAGAACTTTGTTATAATTGAACATTTTAGTGACGAACTCCTCATATTCACCAAGGACATCATTGTAGAATGCTCTGGATGTAAGGGTCAGTTTTTCAGACTGAGCTTTCAGAGCGTTCACAATCTTTGGGTGACAGTGGCCTTGATTAACAGCACTGTAAGCACTCAGAAAGTCAAAGTACTTTCTACCTTCAACATCCCACACATAAACACCTAGGAAAACAAAAGTATGGTCAATACACAAAATAAAAGACATGAGATAATACTAAGTGGGATAAGCTAAGAGCTACAACACAACCTGGTCAAATACAAATGGTATTCTCGCTATTCCTTAGGGCATACCTGAAAGGCCCTCTAACTAGACAATAATCAGTTGACAAGGAGAGCAAGAGCAACAAACTAGTACAGTACAAATAAATGCCCAATGAGGAATCAAGAAAAGAAGCATTTCCCAAACAAAGCTGCCATTCCACTAAGTTAGTAATATCAGAATATTATTTCCCCTCCAAGTCCCTGTTTTGGGTCCTAAAAAGTAGAGCAAGCGGAATACTTTTGTAAGAGAAATTAGTAAGAACTGGAGGTCATAAAAGAAAAACCAAAACCAGTAGAACCTGCATAGCCTCAAAACTTAAGAGACTGACAGCTCTGAGCTGTCAAAACATGTACTGATAAACTCTTGGATCACTATGCTGATAGCATCTCAATATACACTCATAGAATTTAACCTGCAGAGCACAAAAGCCCCTTAAACATCATTAAAGACCAGAATAAATTTATATGAAACAGTAACACAGGAACAGTACACAGGGACTTAAATAGGGTTCCAATGCACCTAACATTAACCCTCTCCACAAGGTAACAAAAAAACCAAAGTTGCTTGAAACTTTCTTGTTGATTTGAATTATGAAGATTATCAGAATTTAGACCTCTACTTAGGTAAAACATTTTAGGGAGACTACTTTATCAGGCAACCTTACACATAACAATCCAGTTCCTCTAACCAGCAATTAGCTCTCATTTATTTCATCAATTATCTCAATCCCACCCACACCCCAAAATAACGCCAAAGGCTCAGAAACTGATTAGGTCAAAATCATTATGCCATGATCATATCCCATCTACACCACCCAGGGAAACCTAAATAAAATACCTTTTCCTTTTTCCAGAGCAACGGGCAGTGGGTGATAATTGTGGGCACCATATTTAGCCTCACGTTCAAATATGAAGTCAGAGGACGGAGGTCCTTGAATGGTTTTTTTGGTAGCAACCGAAGTAGCAGAACTCAGTGAAGCGTGAACACCTCGACAGAGAACAGCAACGCTCTGAGAGCGGGTTAGCTTGGAAAGCATTATTGACTTCAGGTATGTTCTTACAGATCTGGGGGAGAAAGCAAGTTAATAATTAGTACTAAGAACACTTCAGAAGCAATGTATGATGCGTTTGAAGGGGTTTTACTGCCAAGATTACAGGTTTCTCAACTCTTTTGCAATTCAATCAAGAAAGGTTATACAGTATAAACGAGTGCAGTAGTAATTCCAAGTAAGTATTTTTTTTTTCTACTTTAATGCAGACTCACAGTACACTCACAGGAACAGAAAGAAAACAACAATGTGTGACTCACCAAGTCTATGAAATAGTCACATAATTTTTCCTGTAGCAGCGTTCCCTTTTCATTGCACCTCGAATTGTGACTAGATTTATTAATATAAACTACAGTAACAAAGTTAAGTTTATCAAACTTCTTGTGCCATTGAAATGACTTTTGTCTAACAAAGACTTCCATAAGACAAATCTTATCACAAAATCAGAGAGTAAATAATATCATACTGGAAAGAAGCAGCTGACCCAAATAATGTTTAGCTGATAACATAATCAAATTTTCTAAGGGATTGATTTTAACTGAGGTCAGCTTTAAGAAGCAAAATTGGTGACTTTTTATGTAAACAGCATTCTTGATTTTAAAATGTTGCCACCTACACATAAAGCACTCACTGTCCATAGCATTTTAAGACCATCAAAAAACAGATGGAAAGTAACAGTATGTCAGATATTAACAATCATTATAGCACCCTGTATTTTCTTAGTAAAACCCCGCGATTTCCCCTGAATGCATAACCTTGTACTGTTAATATCTAAGGATGATCTGAGGGTAGAATTTCATGAGACAAACACACTTGCATTTCCTCCCTCTGCCTTCACCTCTGTCAACGTAAAGATATGTCCCAGAGAAGGGAAACTGAGCTGGCATTTTAAAAGCTGTTCAAGCAAGCTCTCCTCACAGCGCCGCGTATTGGGAATGGCAGAGAGCCATCAAGGAAACAATGATCGCTTTAGCGAGACCAAGAGTTCTCGAAGCTCAAGTTTCTAGTCTTGCAGAACGTCACACTTACAAACTGGCAAGAGGCACTAGCCCAAAAGGAAGACCGCAGATTACAGTGACAAGTACTCTAATGATCAAACGCGGCCTCTTTTGTAACGTTCTCCATAGCAAACTGAAGAGCTGAGCAACTGCAACACTGCTGCACTATCTAACAACAAAAGCATACTGTAAAAGTTAACCAAAATGTACTTATTAGATTATTAGCAGGAGAATGCCGGAATGGTTTACACAAGGGTGTCGTTACTTCAGGCTGCTTGCAGAGACAGAAATATTAAGTCACGGATATTCTAAATTTATTTCGGAAAAGTTCTGCACACTGGATGCGTCACCTTAAACAGAAAGGCTTTTATTTCAGCAGAGTCCTCAGACATTACACTGCTGCTCCTCGCTTCGAAGCAATGCCAGAAGACTATTTTCTGCATCTACCAAAATCTACGTCTTTAGGAAGAGTCAATAGCCTCCATTCCAGCAAGCGATGAGTGGCAGCTTCACAGCTCTAGGCATTTTCCCAGCTATCATCAATGCCATTTGCGTTAATACTTTTCAAGACTGTTACTCAAAGATTTTGCAAATAAAAAAAGTCCAAAACTTCTCCGTGGAAGAAAAAATTTTGACAGAAACTCAGCTCAGCTGCGCCACTCAAAATTACAACTTGCTTAACTCCTAAAATTTAACTGGTCAGTGACATCCTGGCCCCTGGCACACCATGGCAGAGCATCTAATTCTGTAACAAACTTCTGTACTTTTGGACATCTTCCAGACATTCCTGAAAGCTGTGAGGAAATGAAACTCTCATCTGCCCTGTCTCAGCGGGCTACCTTTCTGCATGGAGAATTACAGACCACCAATCTGAGATTCTTCTTTCACTTTTTTCAGGTTGGAAAATCTTAATCAGAAATTCTTAAAAGGGCTTTGCCTTCCACGAGAACTGCCCTGCAAAGTACATTAGTGAGGCCACATCATTTTAGCTGAGGTGTGGGAGGTTACATGGGGTATGGCTGAGTGCAGCTGAGAATTACAGATGCATCTGGAGTTAAAAGGTGAAGAAAAATTTGGTTCTGATGATCAGCAAGACAAGATGAACAGAAATTTCAGGAAAGAGGAGGGGCACAGCAAGGGGAAGAAAAGAAAAACAAAAGCAAAAAAAACCCCAAACTTATTACCAACTGTGAGGAAGTGAGAAAGATGATCATGCCCTGCAGTATGCAGTACTGGAAACAGAAGCCAGGGCATTTCACCGAGTGGAAAAAGTCTTGCATCAGACTAGAAAAGCTATTCAAAGCACAGCTGTAAAACATACTTGGAACAAATTTGCTCCACTGTTGAGCAGGAATATCCAGAGAAGAGCACTGCACCTGCAGACCTCACGGGTAAATCCAGTGGCTGTACGCACCCAGTCCCTGACACGCACTGAAATACACCCCAGGGTAGATAGCATGTATTATCAAACACATGAAGAACACTCGGATGCAGGTTGGTGCAGCACAGCAGAGCCCGTGCCACACGGCAGCCGTCACCAACGGAGCGCGAAGGGGGCGACCGTTCACGGGGACAAGCTGCAGCAGGAGGGGTATGGGCCTGGACAGGCCAGACCACCCTTCAGACTAGCACCGCATCGGAGGCAGCTCAGGACGGGCAGACAAGGCAGAGCCAGACACCCGGCGGTGAAACACCAGCCCCTGCCCACGGCCACGGCA